TACATTAGTATGACTATTCTCCACACTTCTCTGCACAATTTCCTGTGGTATTAATTATAGGAAAATTTATCAAACAATTAAGAGCTTACATCTTTTCTTAGTGATCGTTTCCTTTATTCTCATAACCTTAATGTTTGATTCAGAGGTGATCCTGTAACGAGAAATTTTATGGAAGTCACTTATATGAATAAATCTATCGCATGCCTCTGGTGTTACTGAAACTTGGTGAGGATGAATCTTTTAGTTTATTTGATAATCAGGAGAAAAGAGTTTTTGATTTTTTTGGCGTGTTTTTTTACAGGACGGAGTATCTCTCCACTTCTCCTTTATTTGGAGAAAAAAAATGCCCACATTTGCCGTCTCTTAATAATCAAAAGATGTTTGAGCGTCCTTCTTTTCATCTCATGTCTCCGAGGTGCGTCATTAATAGCAGTCATTTGTTGGAAGCTGGTGATATTTACACTTTGATCAAATGGCCTCCTAACTAACACTCAAACTCCACAGTTTAATTTCTCTCAGCTTTCAATGAATGGTCATAAATCTGTTTATGTACACCCAAGGGTAATGATAACTCCCCTGCGGCACGATCATGCCTCATTAGCAAAGCTTTACACCTAAGTATACCGTTACCCGGGAATCCTGGAAACTTACTGCTTTCCATAGTGAACAGAAGACAAAATGAGAATGCTAAGTCAAAGCTCTGTTGAACTTATATCACGAGTCGATGTCAACGAGGTCGAGGTCATTCGCCTTTTGGGATCAGGTGGGTTTGGTTCTGTCTTCGAAGCTATGCACAAGAACTGCAAGGTTGCCATGAAGAGATTTCACACCAACACTCGCAACAAAAAAGCGGCGATGCAAAGCTTCGAGGCTGAAGTGCACCACGAAGTCTTGTCACTGAAACATCCAAACATTGTGCGAGTATTGGGAACCAACGCAGCGCGCAGCCTTGAAGAACAACCGTTTATAATCATGGAGTTTGTCAGTTCAAGAAACTTGCAACATGTGCTGGACGACGCGGATGAAAAAGTCGATTTTAAACGGCGCGTCACATTTGCATACGAGGTGGCGCTTGCCTTGGAATATGTGCATGACAATAACATCGCACATCTCGACCTAAAACCCGCCAACGTTCTTATAGCTCCGGATGGTAGCTGTAAACTCGCCGATTTTGGATGCTGTCAGATCATCCAAGAACGGCCCAATACACCGTCACGATCGTATCTCACCGGAACATATGCCTACCGGGCTCCCGAACTCCTGAAGGGGGAAAGTCCCACCTTCAAAGCTGACGTTTTTTCCCTAGGAATCTGCTTGTGGCAGTTTTGGACCCGTGAAATTCCGTACAAGCTACAAAATCATCAGATTGTGATCTTCCGAGTTGTTGCCTGTAATCTGCGTCCAGAGATCCCTGAGGGAAATGACGTAGACAACCGGTACAGGGAGCTGATGACGTCATCATGGAATGGCAATCCCGAGGAAAGGCCTTCTATGACCGAGGTCGTAAACTTGCTTAAGTGTTTGATTCCTTGAAACTTGAATGACTCTGATATCAAAGATTAAATTGAAAGTATATATATATTTTAATTTTATTGAAGAGTGCTGGTCACACGTACGTAAAGTTTATTTCATATAATGTAGATTTAATACAAATGATCGGATATATAACTGTAGTATATAAAGAAGTTTATATTAAAATGCAAAGCGGAGAGTTATTTATTTAAGAGATATTTTACTATATTGAGATATATAATTACTTGTTAGTAGGAAAAGAGAGATTTATTATGTGTGTTATTCGTCAATGTAATTTTGAATCATTATCACACCATTTAAAAATGCATCGTTTCATTTTATACGGACCTTTGATGCATTTAATTACACACAATTCGCAACTTCTAGCCTTTTTTTAACAACAACAAGACAAAAATCTTGAAAAATGGGCTGAGGGCCAGAATAAAAGGCTTTACCTTAATCTCTGCGACAATTTCTCGTTTTTCTTTTCATAATTCTTTTTATTTTTTATCGAAGGTAATAACGGATTGGTAAGCTTAAAGATTCTATACGCGATTACGTGGAGATTGTGACCTCCTTGTTGGGTGAATTGTTTTTCCTGCTTCTCTCAATCGGGCCAACTCATTTTCGCTCTCGTCGAAACATTTGCGGGTTTAAACTATCCAAAGGTCGACAAATGTGAAGCCTGTGGAAAAGAATCTTTGTGCGTACCAATGTTATGCCCAGAAGCCCAGTCTTACCTTCGACTGGAAGAGACAAAGAGATCTTTTTTAGCTCTTCAGCCTCAGCGGAAGAAGTGAGACATTCCACTTAACTAGTTCACGCAAGAGGACATGGCGTAAAAATCCTCTTCAGAAGTTTACCGCAGTCACAAACAAAATATTGCGCCTGCATGCAGCCTCGGTTAAACTGGGAGCGAATAAAATTTATAACTTGATTGGATGGTTAGTGTATGACGTAATTATCTTGGAAGTGAGACAAAGGAACTTATCGATGTCGTCGTGCTCTCGCGCGTGATATACTTCTCTTAGAAGTACTTGATCGGTGTTTCTTTTCGTTCAGCCATTTGGCCCAAAGACTTAGTTTCCCTTCCTTTCCTTTGGTCGTCATACTGGCTTGCTAACCCAGGAATCTATCCCTGGACTGATTTTATCGGAAACAGTCCTCATTGCTTGGCAGGTTAGCCAATTTTAGTGGAATTCCCCTTTGTTTGCAATCGTGGATTGAATAACCTTCGATTAGCCACGAGAAGTGATTGTGCCGTAAAGATGTAGTATTTTCCCGTCTTGTCTTGTCTTTAACAGCTTTGGTTTGTGTTATGTTTTTTTTTTTACCTTAGTGGGACTGCAGATCCTGACCGGCTAACGGACCAGATTTAAAGAATATGGACAAGATTAATGGGGAGCCTGTTGCTGGCGAGAGCCACCCTCAAGAAATCTTACAAGGGTCGGTGTACAGCGACGGTGGTTACATCCCGCCGGAAGATTTGAATAACCATTTCGAAGAAGATGACGGACTGGACTTAGAGGGATATCAACCGACGTATGCTGAAGCTTTCCCTCCCCTTCCAAGCGCTCATGTGGAGAATTCAACGCAAAGCGACGCTGGATCAAAATGGCGAACTGGAACGGGTCCGATTCGCTCTACCACTGTGACTCAGGTATATATAACTGAAATCGCATAGAGACAAAAAGGAAATTAACGTCCTAAAGAGGAATTCTAAATAAGTGAAGGTTAATTTGTTCTTTTTGAACTCGTCTAATATTTATTAGTTTGGTATGAATATAGCTGATTTGAGTTCTTTACTTAGATTGCTACGTTCAGCGTGAAAATTGATACAACCTCACGACTAGAATTGCCTTTCTCTGTTTCGCCCACGGGATCGCTTTTATTTCATAATATGGAAAAGAACGTCCGTGAAATAGATAGTATCAGTTATTGTAAAATTATTTTTGTCTGTAGTTGTTACGCCTAGAATATTTCCTCTCGATAGACAATGAGCGATGCTTAGTTCTTCAAGCCACGTTTACAGGTCTTCCGGTCAGCCCACGGCTTACGGTGTTGGCTGTTGTTGAAGTATGAAGAAATAGTTTCATTAAATTATTCCCTGACATAGTAACTGCCAAAGAACATTGTCGTTATATTGAGACGTTTTTCCTTTGTGTACTTTTTTAACAGTTGAGCGTTTTTCTGTTTCAATCTCGACAGAATTTTGCTAGTTAGTTTTGAACCATACAAAGCATCAATAATTTAAGTGATATTTTCATAGTTCTTGCCTCAATGGTTGGTAAAATGTTGACATTATTTCACGACACATTAAATTCAATGGAATTATGTAGTTGATCGCCAAGTTTTTTTAATCGTTGAGTTCTGAGTAGAAAATAGTCGAAAACCATTTCTCACGAATAATGAAAAATACCTCTATATTGCTGATCCACACTTTCTGAATTCACGCAGTTTCACAGTTAATTTTTAGCGTTCCGTTTTTATCGTGCCTTCTTTGTTAACTAAGTAAAAAGGTATTTGTGAGGTCTTAACGACATGTACAAAACAGTCTTAAAGTTCTGATCACATGTTTCTTCGAGTTTCGCCGGCATTGTTGTCACGACATAGGCAATTTGCATAGCGAACAATAACTATCTGAATAGAGTTAATTTTTCCCTACGTGTCCTGCCAACAGCCCACTTCATTTTAAAACTAATTTTCCAATCATGAAAATAAGCGATTTGTTGTAAGCCCCCACATAAAATGATCAAGCATCCTTTGTGTCAAGCAAGATATGTCAAGACTTATTTTGCTCTAATTTCCAGTAACATTAGCTAGTATGTGGTACTGTAATTAGATCCAAATACATTTAGGACTAAGAGTTGAAATATAATGAATATATTTATTCCTTTTCTTTCTTCACTAAAAAATTTTCCATTAATTCATGATTTAAAAAACTTAATTGATCATGCCCTCCAGAAGAGAGAAAAACAGAAATGTGATATGATCTTGTTTCTAATTACTGGAGGTGTTTTTTCACTTCTCCAGTCTCTAGTGGTAGGGGAATAATCCTACTTGTTACAGCTGTCCAGAGAGACACCAACTTCAGGACAGGAGTGGCTAGCTATCTGTGAATTAATCAGTATTTTAATATGCAACTTTTGAAATAAAAGAGGTGGAAAGGTTGTATCATGAAGATTAACACAAGAAAGAATTTCTGTAAACAAAACTTGATCAGGTGATTAAATAAATAATAACATAAAATTTTTTTCTCCTGCTTCAGTTTCCATGGAAGCAATTTGTTAACTTTTCTTTTGTTCTTGTAGGGTTAGTGTAAAATGTGCCAAGCCAAGCTTCATTTTTAATGTTTTTATTAACCTCTTTTGATCCACGTCTAAATGCGTCACTTTCTCTTTTAGTTCCTTTAAAATGCTTTTTGAAAGACAAATTTTAAATGGACATAAGATGAAAGATTTCCAGGGAGAGAGAAATTGTCTCAAAAATTGTCTTTTGTGTCAATTATTAGTTTGATAAAAGAATATTCCTTTTTGGTTAGAAGTCATTTTCTTTTTTCATATCACAGGAAAGGGTCAGATCTCTTTCTACACTTTTGTTGAGCTTGTGGTAATAAATTAATATGATATCCAAATCTAACTAGAAGTTAGATAAAATCATTTTTTACTGTAAAGCATGTCTTTGAAATTAAAGCACTGGGGCTCTGTCCTCAAAGGGTGTAGAATGTGTTTAGAGTTAGCAAAGACAAAGAGTTACAGATTCTCTCTTACAGAGAAGTGTATCACAGCCCTTTGATGGTATCACTGCTGTTTCTCAACATGTCTTTTTTTTTTGTCTTTGATTGTTTTGCTGTTTAGATTTGAGTATGATATCTTCAGGGATTTAAAGTTTCTATGTAGGTTTTTAATTAAAATCAGTGGATGGTGGATCTTGCACTCAGTAATGGGGATGGGTTTTTGCTGGCTCCCTTTGCCATTAGATGAAGATACAGCCTCTGATGTAGATTTGGAACACAGATTATCTTTAAAAATCTGCTTAGGTTGAAATGAAAGCCTCTCTCACTTATAGTTGACAAAAAATAATCACACAGACCATGTGGAGAATGAAGATTTTGGCTGTTGTGAGTAAAAGGATGAAAGATGTTTTTTTTTTTTTTCTTTTTTACTTCTCAATGTAGGTCTTCCGAGTTCCTCTGGAGGAAAGGCGTTACAAACAGCCCAATGAAAATGCTTTTGGAGATGACCGTCAACGAGAGATCTGCCGTGACATTATGGCGAAGACCGGAGCTTCAATTGAGATCAGTTCAGGAAAAGATCAAGGCTTGACAATCATGGTGACTGGAAAACCAGAATTACTGGCAAAAGCTAGGCGTATGGCGCTAACCCAACTTCAGACTCAGGTAAAAGCAGTTTGTACCTGAAAAATTTATATATTTGTAATGAGAATTCTAGCATACCTGCTGGTACTCAAAGGAGTTTGACAGATATTTGGGTTTTATATTTCATTCAACCTTTCACCTCTAAGAGTGACTGATATCTAATTTCACCCTTGAATCAAATGTAAAAAAAACAAGAATACAGGAAATAATCAACCATTTTTGAGGAGCTCCTGATTGTCAAACAACTTCTCCTTGTCAGTAACATAAAAAATGTGAAGAAAACAGTGTAGAGAATATAACAACCAATATTAGGGTGTAAAGAGTTAACCCTGCAAGCTGCACTAGTGACCAAGACAGAATTTCTCCTTACACTGTCAGTACTATTTCAAGCAAACAAGTAATGAGAATAAAGAAAACAAATTTAACATTAGTCACTGTCAAAGGGTAGTGGTGTTATATATACATAATGGAAGTTAGCCTTTTAATTTTAGGCCTAGTTGGTGATCATTTCCTTAATGCTCATGACTTTAACATGTGATTTATGGATTTAATGTAAGAAGGAATTAGACTTTGGTCGGTGTTAGAGGTTGAAGGGCAGTAGGGTTTTATGAACATAATTGACGTAATCTTGAATTTTTAGGCTAATGTTGAAC